TCTGATCAGAGTGGCTCTTTTTTCTAATCACATCATGGAAGTGATCAGAGAGGGAACGCTTCTCCTTTCTAGTTAACTATCACTAAATGGCCACTAGATTACTTTGCATAAACTAATATGCAACAACTCTATTAAAAGTCCCAGCAGTACTGAGTAATTAGTTCTGGCTGTTCTCAGACCATTTTTCAAAGGAGAAATAAGAAGCCCACTAAGTGAAAGGTATTAATTATAAAGAAATTACATATTAAGTGAGAATAAAGGTATCATAACAGAACACCCGGTGGTAGAGTAGCGTATCAACCTTGGCCTTACCCTTTAATTTCAAGGCTTCTAATACCTTTGAATCAGCCGTCACATCACTCACTAGCTTGATTTCGATATTTTGCGAAGTCAGCTGGAGCAGCTTTTCAAAAAGACGTTGACCCTGGGAAAAATAATCAGAAAGAAAGTCAGGAAACCCAAATAGATGCTGCTTTAATTAGGCATAAATAACGTACTCAAAAAATTAAAACGATTCATTCAAATTTTGAAAGAAAAGCACTTCAGCAGTTGGTATTCTTGAAAATTCTACCAGAGGAGAACTGGTATATATAGAGCAGTAACAGGAACCCAGATTACAGTCTTTTGTATTTTTATTTTTTGAGTACTGTATTGTGCAATCCAACAATTACCGCAATAAATAATTTCAATGCAACAGTGCAAATTTACCCTTGTTTTACCTTTTTAAAAAAAATCTTCATCCGAGGATATTTGATTTTTAGAGAGAATGGAAGAGAGAGGGAAAGATAGCGAGAAATATTGATGGGAGAGAAACACATCGATTGGTTGCCTCCTGCCTGAGCCTGCAACCAAGGCATGTGCCCTTGACTGGAATTGAACCCGGGACCCTTCAGTCTGCAGGCCGATGCTCTATCCACTGAGCCAAACGGGCTAGGGCTGCCCTTGTTTTACTGTTGATGAGCTCTGACGTTATCTACACACGAACAGGCAGGAGAGAATATTAAACAGTTGTGTCTGGGTCCACAGAGACCTGGATTCCAGCTGGTTTTCCAATTTACACACTGTCTTTGTAATCTCACTGAGCTCGTTTCTTCCCTCAGTAAAATGTGGATATTCATATTTACTTTAAGAGGCTCTGGTGAGAATTAAAGGAGTCAGTGGTAGGTAAGCACCTTTTTAAGTGTTAACTCCGATGGGGGGAATCAGGCAGGGCTGCTCCGCAGGGATCTGCCTGAATTCCCCATCTTGTTTAAAGTGTGTTCTATTGACTTCAATCGATGCTCTGCCTCGCAATCTGTAATTATTGACACAGCCTAAGAATAACGGAAATAAAAGCAAAGTAAAACCAGATTTTTAAAGGACAGTTTCACAAGCATGAACATCTGATAGTAGGTTTTTGTCTCAGGAAGAACCTGGGCCCATATTCCGTACCTGATCTCAGGTGAGGGGGCTACATCATCCTGTTTATTTTCCCTTGTGTGTTTTTAGGGATTCCCTCTCCTGATCATAAAAGGGAACTGGTTTTCTTTGATTGATTTTCCCCCCCACTATTTTCGTTATTCGGCCACAAACTTAAATGCCTTCAGGGGCCAGGCAGGCAAGAAGGCTTCGGTCTTACTGGCCCCCAAGTGGCAAAGTCATATTTTACTTCAATAAGAATGGACTGTTGATGGTGATTCTACAGAAAGGACGTGGAGACTGAGAAGACGGAATGGAGGTTTGTGGAGGAAGAGAGGTGACTTCTGTAATCGATCTTAGAAAAGAGAGAAGGCCAGGATGGAACCCCTAAAGCTTTGGAGCGCGCAGGAAAACATAAGGGGGACAGGGGTTTAGGGTGATGGGTAAATCGCAGAGATAGGACATGTGACTGACAGGTGCACTGGAAGAGAAAAAGAGGCAAAAAGAAGAAGTTTGCAAATAACAGAAGAAGAATGGTTCAACTTGAGGAAAGATCTCCATGTTGAAAAAATAATCCAAGATGGAGGCTCACGGGATGTGGAAAGACACATCTAAGTATATTCTGTAAAACGACTCCACAGCAACGAGAAAAAGGAATTCTGACAAACTTCTGGCCGAAAACAAAACACTTGCCTATCAAGGAAATTGGATCAGAGTGGCACGGAGCCAACCAGCTGTGACACTAAGTTAACTCAGATTACGGGAGAAGAAGACTGAAGCCCAGGCAAGGATTTCGCTTACGAGGGTGAATGAAAGAAATATATGCAGTTATTTATAGATTTAGAGACTATTTACCCACATAACCCCTATGAGGAATACATTCAAGGATGGACTCTAATCAAACGCTAAGTAACACCAATCACCATCAAGGAGGATGAAGGGGAGAAGATGCAAGTGACGGAGCAATACGTTGTGGAGTTGTGTTTGATGCACCTGCTAAATAAAGATTCTGGAAACAGAAGAGACACATTACAGGGGGAAGATCTACTGCATAAAATGTCAAACTATGAAAACATTTTTTGTTGATGGTCAGACGGATAATTTTGTTTCTCTTCCATTTCTCTGTAGTTTCCAAACTTTCTATAGAAAGAAGCTAATACTGGGATAATGAGAGAAAAAAATCCAACCTATTCTTTTTATTTTTGTTAATCCTCATCCAAGGATATTTTTCCAATGATTTTTAGAGAGAGTGGAAGGAAGGGGGAGAGATAGAGAGAGAGAAACATCGCTGTGAGAGAGATGCGTGGATTGGCTGCCTCCAGGGCCAGGGAGCGAGCCTGCAACTTAGGTACATGCCCTTGACCGGAATCGAACCCCGGACCCTTCAGTCCACAGGCCGACGCTCTATCCACTGAGCCAAACCGGCTAGGGCTCAACCTATTCTTTTTAAAAAGAAAGTTTCAAAATCATAACTAGACCTTAGGGAAATGGCAAACGCAGAGATGAAGATCCAGAGGGAAACCAATCGAGCAGATAGTAAACAACTTCAAACAAAACTCATTATTTAATCCAAATAACTGGGAAGACGGTCTGGCTTCATGATTTATTCATGTCCATGTGATTGGATTTAAAAAAAAATTTAAAGAGGTTAAACTCCTGCTAATCATAGTGCTTATGAGTTCAGAGCAGAATGTTGATTTCCCTTGGAAATATACTGGGAAGCGAGCAAGAGCATAATTAGGATGGCTCAACAGATGGAGAGATGGAAGCGTGGAGCCGCAGCAGCAACGGAGCCAGAAAGAACAGCACTGAGGGAGGACAGGAGTTCACAGGAGCGGAGAGCTCAGTGGAGAGGCCAAGCCAGAGGCCCCGCCCCCAGCCTGCAGGCCCCGCCCCCCGCGGTGTTCCCACCAATCGCTTTCTGTGCTTTCCCCACTACATTGTGCAGAAAGGGGCGGGGACCATGCTTACTGGGTGCTGTATCCCCAGCAATAGCTCAGCCCCTTCATAAATATTTGTTCAATAATGGCGCATTCAAAAGGATGTCGCAACCAGGTTTCAAACAGGAGAATGCCAATTGATAAGCATTTGCTGAGTGTTGAATTTGGGGAGAGATTCTATTTTTTAACTTAATTTATTTTTTTAAATTTATTTTTATTGATTTCAGAGAGGAAGGGAGAGGGAGAGAGAGAGAGAAACATCAGTGATGAGAGAGAATCATTGATCGGCTGCCTCCTGCACACCCCCTACTGGGGATCGAGCCCACCACCTGGGCATGTGCCCTTGACTGGAATCGGGACCCTTCAGTCCGCAGGCCCACGCTCTATCCACTGAGCCAAACCGGCTGGGGCTAAATATGCTATTTTGAAAGAAGGGGACACTCTTTCCATTAGGTTATGCAATTTTCACGCTGACACTGCACCAGTTTGCCTGAAATAATATTTATCCTGGAGATGAGAAGGCTGAAGAAGGGAAATCTGTTTCAAATCCACAAGCAACCCCTTCTCTTCCTGGCCACGTGCCAGGATAAAGTTGCAAGAATTAATAGGACACCGGCCCCAGCGTCCAGGCACATGTGTAATATTCAAAGTCAAGTCGCCGGCCTTTCACATCATCCCCCAGAGGACAGGAGGAATAAATGGGATTAAGTTGAAACAGGCAAAATCAGGTTGACAAACTGGATGGGGGAGGGGACCAACCTGGCCCTCGTCTTGAAATTTATAAAAAAGCAAACGACGTTTGTTAGACTGGAGTGGTTTAAGGCAGCGATTCTCAATCCTGCCTGCCCAATGGATCCCCCAAGTCCTCTTTTAAAAAGTATCAATGCTCGAGTCCTTCTAATTAGGTAAAAATTTAAATCAAATAGGCTTTCAGCCAGACCCTTCTTATTTATTTATTTTTTAAAATATATTTTTATTGATTTCAGAGAGGAAGGGAGAGGGAGAGAGAGATAGAGACATCCATGATGAGACAGACTCATTGATGGGCCGCCTCTTGCACGCCCCCTACTGGGGATCAAGCCCGCAACCTGGGCATGTGCCCTTGACAGGAATCCAACCTGGGACCCCTAAGTCTGCAGGCTGATGCTCTATCCACTGAGCCAAACCAGCGAGGGCAGTACCTTCTTTTTTAGAAATGCTAAACTCGGTGGCCTGAAGAGAACTATTTAAAAAAGTTGGCCCTGGGTCCTGCAGACAAATTATGACACCAATTAACCAACCAAACGCCCCGGCAAGCGGTTACAGAATTAGAACCGTAAGCACGCATGCTGTGCCAAGATGAATTCCGGGGCGTGCCAGCCACAGGCACCATGATGCTGATGGTCCCCCTGAAGTTGCCCAATACAACAAGTCCGTATAGAGAGCCTCTGGTATGCAAACACGAAACATGATTTTGCCCTTGAAAGCCAGGCGTTCTGGCAGGAGCTGAGCAACATGCGATGAGCAACAGCACACACACACACACACACAAATGCAGTGATGTCCATGGACTAAGGGGGACAGTAGACTAAAAACATGAGCTTGCACGTGAGAAGCAGAGGCCGGAGTACTAAGGCGTGTCGAGTGCACCCCAGTAAAACCATCGCCCGCGGATGCGCTTACCTGACACGCCGATGGGTGACTGTGGTTGAGATCCCAGTGGGAAGACACGATGTCCACCGACTTCTGGGCCATGGTGAGTAGGTTCATCCAGCCTTGGTAGAGTGACAGGTGAAACGGTGCGTTTTCCGAATAGTTAAGGCCTGCAGGGATGTTTTCCACCAGGGCGATTCTTAGGAAAGATTTTGAAAAACAAACAAATAAGACCTAGTCAAATTGGAAGCCACAGATCTTCATACACACATGCGGAGATATCTGAAAATACTCTTTCCTCTTCCTGGATGTACATGTTTCTCATAATTTACAGTTTTCTTTCTTTTTTTTTTTTTAAATATATTTTATTGATTTTTCACAGAGAGGAAGGGAGAGAGATAGAGAGTTAGAAACATCGATGAGAGAGAAACATCGATCAGCTGCCTCCCGCACATCTCCCACTGGGGATGTGCCCGCAACCCAGGTACATGCCCTTGACCGGAATCGAACCTGGGACCTTTCAGTCCGCAGGCTGACGCTCTATCCACTGAGCCAAACCGGTTTTGGCAATTTACAGTTTTCATCAAAGATGTCTTGGCATTTCCCCTCTGTTAATCGACTGTGTTCTAAGAGTTTAGGCTCCGTTTTTTTCTGTTAGTAATCATGTTTCATAAAATCATGGTATATGTCCCTCATGTCGAGTTTCAAACTAGCCTTGAAAAAAAAAAATCAGAGCTTCCTGCTCCAGCATCTTCCCCTGATGATATATTTCTTTTTAAAAATATGTTTGTAGCCCCAGCCAGTTTGGCTCAGTTACTAAGAGTGTCATCCTGTGGACCAAAGGGTCCTGGGTTCGATTCCGGTCATCAGATCTTGTTATTTCATGAGTTATTGATGAACTAGAGGCTCGGTGCATGAAATTCGTGCATGGGGTGGGGTCCTTCAGCCCGGCGTGCACCCACTCGCAATCTGGGACCCCTTGGGGGATGTCTGACTGCCAGTTTAGGCCTGATCCCATAGGAATCCCTGTGGGATCGGGCCTAAACTGGCAGTCGGACATCCCTCTCGCAATCTGGGACCGCTGGCTCCTAACCGCTCGCCTGCCTGCCTGATTGCCCCTAACTGCCTCTGCCTCACCCCTCCACCGCGGCTTCGTCCGGAATGACGTCTGGAAGGTCATTCAGTTGTCTGGTCTAATTAGCATATTACACTTTTATTATTACAGATATGCCACAATTCCGTTTCTTTGAGATATTTTATAACTTTATTTCTACATGATTGGTTTCCTTTGCAATTCTATGTATTTTAACTAAAAGACCATTCTCCAAGGAAGGGGGCCACAGGGTTCCTCAGACTGACAAAGGGGTCTCCGGCACAGAAAGGGTTACGTGCTCGTCCGATGGATAGAGCATCATCGGCTCCTTTTTCTTTCTGTTTCACACACATTCTTATAACAAATTTCCCCCTTTTTGAAGCCTTAGAAGTGGATAAGATCCGCAAGAGAGATTTCTCAAGAGAAGAGAATTGGGTCAAAGCCAAGTTTGGGAAGCATCTAATCCCTCTGGTTGGTAGAGAAAGTGGGGCAGGCGAAGGAGACAGAAGAAGTACTGGGAAGGCCTGCAGAGGAGGGAAAAGCAATTCCTGGGAGCCAATCAAGACCACGTTTATTATTATTATTTGATTTTTACTAAGGAACCGCGCCAACGATGAATTTGTACTAGAAGTAAAAATAGAGGAGCCTGCTCTGGGGGGAGGCGGGGCACGCTTAGGTTAGGTTTGGGTAATGAATGTCCAGAACAAAGGCCCTGCCCACCTCCTCCCAAAGGACCAGGAAAGCTGGACCGTCCCTGCAGCGACTCGGCGCCTGCTTCCTACGCCCCCGTCGAAAAAGCTTCTAGAAATCAGCGTAGAAAATAACTGGGCTTGTTTCTGTGACCTATCATTTCATTTCCTCTAACAACCAACAGCCCGCTTCTCTCCAGGGGCAGATGTCATGAGCATCCAGGCAGGACTCATTTCCACGGGACAGCAGCCCTCGCTCCGTGCTTGCTTCTCAGGCAACGAGAGGAGTGAACAGACCTCATTAACATCCACCTCTGGCCAAGTCCCAGGGATGCCAGCAGGCCGGCTCTGAGAGAACTGTGCCCAAAGGCGGTGGCACTATTTCTGATGCCTAAGAACAAGGGGAAAAGGCTGAATGTACAGACACAAGACAGCAAAAATCGTTTCATGGCCCTGGCTGGTTTGGCTCAGTGGATAGAGCGTTGGCCTGCGGATTGAGGGGTCCAGGGTTCGATTCCGGTCAAGGGCACATGCCAGGGGTTGTGGACTCGATCCCCAGTAGGGGGCGCGCAGGAGGCAGCTGATCCATGATTCTCTCATCATTGATGTTTCTGTCTCTTTGTCCCTCTCCCTTCCTCTCTGAAATCAATAAAAAAAAATATATATATTTAAAAAAAACTTTTCATGCTTCTTTTCATGGTACTCTGAGATAAATGACAAATGGTTTGAACGGTGAGTCCAGGGAGCTGAGGTGGAATACATATAAGAAAAAGCCTTTGACATTGTTAGTAGATTTTAAAATAGAATTCTGGCTGTTTTCGTTAATTATATGTATTTGTTCTCCAAAATTAATGGGATCATCAAAATTTCTCTTTCAATTCAGGAACAATATTTCACCTTCTATTTTTTAATACATATATTTTTATTGATTTCAGAGAGGAAGGGAAAGGAAGCGAGAGATAGAAACATCAATGATGAGAGAAAATCATTGATCGGCTGCCTCTAGCACATCCCACACTGGGGATCAAACCCACAACCTAGGCATGTGCCCTGACCAGGAATTGAACCATGATCTCCTGGTTCATAGGTCGATGCTCAACCACTGAGCAATACTTCACCTTTTAAAAGAAATACCTGTAGTTCCCCTCGAATAAGCTACTAAAAAATGCAGTCCCAACATTCGCTAGCTTTAAACGTGCGTGTGTGTGTGTGTGTGTGTGTGTGTGTATGTGTTAAACACAAAGAATCTCTATCTGGTATTATACTTTCACACTTGACTTGTTAAAGAGCAAAGAGAAATGTTAAAGAGCAGAGGATTTGCAATAAGGCAGACGAAACCCAGCTCTGCCAGTTATTAGCTGTGAAACCTTGGACACAGGATTAACTTATTAAAATCTCTTTCCACTTCTGAGAGTGAAACAGTTATTGCAAAGATTAGAAGAAATAATCTATGCGAAGTTCTTTGCTCCGTGCCTGCTTCCTAGTAAGCGCTGAAGACAATTTTAAGCAGTAACTTACAGCCTAAAAGCTTACAATTAAAATGCCTGCAAGTTCTCAAACTGATATAGCACAGTCACTACAAAGGATCTACATACTTTCTCTCATCGCCAGCGCAAGGGGGTCGGTTATTGGCACCTGCTGACCTACACAGGCTGCTTGGCGGTCAATTCATTGACTTTCATTCCTGAGATCTTGGCTGATGGCATTAATCAATGAGCTGAGCAGGGGGCCTTAGTTCATCAATACAATTAGACTTGCACTCGGAGCAGAAGGATGCACCTCGGTGGGTCCGCTGGCTGTGATCACACCCCAGGACTGACAAGGAAGAAGGCTGACCTTCCCCAAGAGATACTGGGGTTTCTGACGTGAAGTAGAAGATGACCCACTGCCCAGGTGGCAGGTTCGCCGGTCACATGAGGAATCAGAGGGCCTGGGGGACCCGAGAGCCGAGACCCTCTGGTCCCCCAAAGCCGAGCCCGAAGCTGAGACAAGGATGTAAGACATTCATTCGGGAGGGTTCCCAGGAAGCAGGATAGAGGGAGCAGGGTCAGTGAAAGGGGAAGGCCCATCAGAAAACCCGAATGAGCAGGTCACAGCCACGGGCAGCTGAGCGCAGTGTCACGGGGCCCTCGGAGGAACTGTGTGGAACCCTCCTGGGAACTCTCATCCCACTGGCGTTGAGAGCTGCCCCCGGGGTGACTGATGCCCCGGACTGATGGGCTGTCCAGTGAAGGCCAAGCCAGTTCCCAGGCACCAGACAAAGCCCTTATGGTGGGGTTGTGGGCTCGATCCCCGGTGTGGGGCATGCAGGTGGGAGCCTATCAATGATTCTCCTTCATCATTGATGTTTCTATCTCTCTCTCCTTCTCCCTTCCTCTCTGAAATCAATCTATCTATCTATCTATCTATCTATCTATCTATCTATCTATCTATGAATGACTAGGGTCTACATGAAGATGATGGTGGTTTCAACTTGGGGGTGAGCCTTGGAGATGGAGAAGAGTGGAGAGACACAGACAGTGATCCTCCCTCACAGAGCTCACATGTTAGTGGGAAAAGCAGGCAATAAACAGTAGACATTTGAAGGTAAAGCAGACAGGATATGGGTACTATGAGGAAATTCTGCCCCATTTTTTTTTCTTTAATACATTTTTATTGATTTCAGAGAAGAAGGGAGAGGGAGAGATAGAAACATTAATGATGAGAGGGAATCATTGATTGGCTGCCTCCTGCACGCCCCACAGTGGGGATCGAGCCCACAACCTGGGCATGTGCCCTTGACTGGAATTGAACCCGGGACCCTTCAGTCCCCAGGCTGATACTCTATCTACTGAGCCAAACCGGCCAGGGCTTCTGCCCCATTCTTGACGTCACTTCCAGGTTCAAGGGTGCTCTGTGGTGTGACACAACTTTGCCTTTCTCTAGACCAGCGGTTCTCAACCTGTGGGTCATGACCCCTTTGGCGGTCGAACGACCCTTTCACAGAGGTCGCCTAAGACCATCCTGCATATCAGATATTTACATGACGATTCGTAACAGTAGCAACATTACAGTTATGAAGTAGCAATGAAAATAATTTTATGGTTGGGTCACAACATGAGGAACTGTATTTAAAGGGCCAGAAGGTTGAGAACCACTGCTCTAGACCTTTCCACGCCCTGCTCAAGAAGGGGCGGGCGGTGAATGACCCCATTGGGAGATCGAGATACACATTCAGCTTCTTTCTCACGTCTTCCTCTTGGGGAAGCCATCCCACCCCAACCCCCACAAGTTGTGCCTGGACAAGCACCTTCATGGCCAAGCTGACCCTCGTCCAAGGC